CAAATTCACTCTCCCCTTCACTGAACCTAGTTCCCCATCAGATCCGCTCTCCCCTTTACCAAACCTAGTTCCCCATCAGGTCCACTCTGCCCACCAACGAACCTAGTTCCCTATCAGGTCTGCTCTCCCCTTCACCGAACCTAGTTCCCCATCAGGATTGCTCTCCCCTTCAACTGAACTTAGTTCCCCATCAGGTCCTCTCTTCTCTTCACCAAACCTATTTCCTCATGAGGTCCACTCTCCCCTTGGCTGAACCTAGTTCCCCATCAGGTTCCCTCTCCCCTTCACTGAACCTAGCTCCACATCAGGTCCACTCTGCTCTTCACTGAATTTAGTTTTTCATCAGGTCCACTCTCCCCTTTACTGAACCTATTACCCCATCAGATCTGCTTTCCCCTTCAGCGAACTTAGTTCTCCATCAGGTCCGCTCTCCCCTTCACCAAACCTAGTTCCCCATCAGGTACGCTCTTCCCCTTCACCAAATCTAGTTTTTCATCAGGTTCGCTATCTCCTTCACTGAACTTACAGTAGTTCCCCATCAGGTTCCCTCTCCCCTTCACTAGATCTAGTCCCCTATTAAGTCCACTCTCCCCTTCAATGAACTTAGTTCCCCATCAGGTCTGCTCTCCCCTTCACCAACCCAAGTTCCCCATGAGGTTCACCCTCCCCTTCACCGAACTTAGATCCCTATCAGTTCCGCTCTCCCTGTTACTGAACCTAGTTTCCTATCAGGTCCATTCTCCCCTTCACCTAGTTCCCCATTGGGTCCGCTCTTCCTATCACTGAACCTAGTTCCCCATCAGGTCCACTGTTTACTTCACCAAACCTAGTTCCCCATCAGGACTGCTCTCCCTTTCAATTAACTTAGTTCCCCATCAGGCCTGCTCTTCCCTTCACCAAATGTAGTTCCCCATCAGGTCTGCTCTCTCCGTCACCGAACCTAGTACCCCATCAGTTTTGCTCTCCCTTTCATTAAATCTAGTTTCCTATAACTTCCACTCTCCACTGATCCTAGTTCCCATCAGGTTCCCTGTCCCCTTCACCAAACCTAGTTCCTCATCAAGTCCGCTATCCCCTTCACTAAACCTAGTTTCCTATCAGGTCCGCTTTCCCCTTTATTGAACCTAGTTCCCCATCAGGTCTGCTCTTCCCTTCACAGAACTTAGATCCCCATCAGTTCCACTGTTCCTGTCACCGAACCTAGTTCCCTATCAGGTCCCCTCTCCCTTTCACTGAACCTAGTTCCACATCGGGTCTGCTCTCCTCTTCACTGAACTTCGTTCCCCATCAGGCCCGCTCTTCCATTCACCAAACATATAGTTCCCCAGCAGGTCCGCTCTCCCCTTCCCTGAACCTAGTACCCCATCAGATCTGCTCTCCCTAGTTTCCTATAACCTCCACTCTCCACTAAACCTAGTTCCCCATCAGGTTTCCTCTCCCCTTCACCGAACCTAGCTCCCCATCAAGTGTGCTCTCCACTTCAACAAACCTAGTTCTGCATTTGATATGTGCTTCCTTCACCAAACCTAGTTTCCCATCAGGTCCGTTATCCCCTTTACCAAACCTTGTTCCCCATCAAGTCTGCTGTCCCCCTCACCGAACCTAATTTCCCATCAGGTCTGCTCTCCCCTTCTCCGGACCTAGTTTCCCATCAGGTCTGCACTCCCCTTCACGGAACCTAGTTTCCCATCAGGTCTGCTCTCCCCTTCACCAAACCTAGTTCCCCATCAGGTCCATTCCCCCCTTCACCAAGCCTAGTTTCCTATCAGGTCCGCTCTCCCCTTCACTAAACCTAGTTCCCCATCAGGTCCGCTCTTCTCTTCCCTTCCCTTCACCAAACTTAGTTCCCCCTCAGTTCCGCTTTCCCCTTCACCGAACCTAGTTCTCCATTAGGTCCACTTTGCCGTTCACCAAACCTAGTTTCCTATCAGGTCCGCTCTCCCTTTTGCTTAACCTAGTTCCCAATTAGGTCCACTCCTACCTTCACTGAACCTAGTTCCCCATTAGGTCCGCTCTTCCCTTCACCACCCTAGTTTCCCATCAGGTCTGCTCTCCCCTCCACCAAACCTAGCTCCCCATCAAGTGCACTCTCCCCTTCACCAAACCTAGTTCCCCATTGGGTCCGCTCTCCCCTTCACCAAACCTAGTTCCCCTCTGGGTCTGCGCTCTCCTTCACCGAACCTAGTTCCCCATCAGGTCTGCGCTCTCCTTCACCGAACCTAGTTCCCCATCAGGTCTGCACTCCCCTTCACCGAACCTAGTTCCCCATCAGGTCCGCTCTCCCCTACACCAAACCTCGTTCCCCATCAGGTCTGCTCTCTCCTTCACCGAACCTAGTTCCCCATCAGGTACATTCTCCCCTTCACCGAACCTAGTTCCTCATCAGGTCCATTATCCCCTTCACTGAACCTAGTTTCCTATCAGGTCCGTATGGCGTAAACCAGGAAGTTCATAGGAGGAGCAAAGAGTTCAAGGTAGAAAAACAGGGTTCAAAGCAAGATCATTCAAGGAATTGTCCAGGAAGCTGTCCAGCATCCCAGGAGGCTCAGCAGGATGAGACATTGACAGACACAAGATAGTTCGCAGGTTTAGACCTGGATCCTGACACAATAACTGTATAACTGCTACACAGAATATAACTGGATACTAATATGTATAGGTAAAGTTGATCCAGGGAATATCCAATTGCCTCTTAGGGGATCAGGAGGGAATTTGCACAATTCCGCCCGGACTCTTACTGGGCCCTGTGCTGATAATACCTCTTTGTACTATTATTAATCTTTTTTTATATAAAGCTTGTATTATTTCCATACTGGTGTACATCTATATACTTATGTTCAATGTTATATGCTGGTTAAAGTATTTATTCTTTTCCCAATTACTATGACTAGATTACTGGTTAATTTCCCAGGAAGAGAACCCCCTCTGTTCATAAAGGCCCTGTCCTGGGGGTGGCACTGCCAACTTTATAATCAAACTCATACCTCCACTTAGCAAATGGTTCTCTTATTTACCTGCAGGCTTAGCATAATGCCCAGTTTGGGGAGGAACATTTCTCATTACCCCCCCCCCCCCCAAAAAAAAAAAGAGGGCTACACATATGTAATGGAACAGTTTCATTTTATTACAAATTTGTAGGTTTGTAGGTGTTTGTCACACACTTGCTTGTGGCACAGTCATTCCAGCATCAACCCTTTAAGCCCCTCCCACTGCCATAATTTCAACATGCCCATCATGTGGCACAGCATGGTGCACATGCTACTATAACATTCTTCACATTTTTGGGGGGGGGGGGATGCACAATTGAGAAGCACTGAGAGCCAGATGTGCTAGGTATGCCACTGCATACAAGTGCTCCTTTGTTAGAAGAAGTAACACATACTCACAAGAAGCTGATGGAAGGAGGAAGCAGAGTAAGAAAAGAGATGAACTCATCACTGTGCAGCTTCCCTTTCACTGTCCGGTCACAGGCAGGGGGCCAAGGGTCCCGTGGTGGCCTGGGCTCAGAGGAAGTGGGTTGATAGATGACAGTCGTCAATAAACCTGGCACACGAAGGCCATCTAGTAGCAGAAGAAACATAATACAATGGGTGAGCAATAAAGACTGCTTTTTACTTTATTTTTAAATAGGCTATTAATATATATTTTTAACAAGGTTTTTTTTTTTTTTGCTGACAGTCTGCTTTAAGTATTTTGTGGTTTCAAATAAAAACAAAACCATAAACAAATTGTCAGATTGTCAAGTTACTGTGTGTGATCTAAGGCTAAGAAGCAAACATGTTTTGAATATTTCCCTGCAATGATTTTACCTCTGTTTTTTTTCCTTTTTTTTGCAGCCAACAGCAGTTGCTCTAAAGTGATGTCTGCATATTTAATAACAAGACACGGGCGTGCTTTGATGTTTATATGATAATACCAACATGATACGTCAAGTGAAGTCAGACATTTTAAGTACTTGATGAAGTGTGTGGGCTGATGGCTAGCCTGTGTGTAACAGTCACAATGCACAAGAAAACAAGTTAGACAGTGTAATTTCACTTCTCAGACATGGGGATTTAAATGGATCGTGTGTGGTCAGACTGCTTTTTATCTGTAGGCATAGCAGTAAAAGAACAACATTTTTTTTTTAGATAAAATATGAAAATCTGGCCAAGCATCAATATCAAGATATATTATATAATTTATAAGGAAAACATAAATAATATTTATGGATAACTATGTAAACTTTATCAAAACAGAAGCTCTTTCAATTCAAGTTGCCATAGTAGCAAACCAATGTGTAACTCACAAGTGACATTCTATACAATAATACCTAGGTGTACATCTATCAAGGCTGGTATTGCTTTTTTCAATATAATATAATCATTCATGTTAATTTTTCCTGCTTGCTTTTATTTGTGATTTCCCCATCATGATCATAATGTAGTGATACTTCAATACCATGCACTTCCATGCCCCAATATGTTTTCGCCTTTTTGTCTTTGTGATCAAACATTTCTAGCAGTTCTCTGTGTTTATTAACCTCCCTGGCGGTATGATTATTTCAGATTTGTGGTGCTGAAAGCGGTACCATTATTTTGCATGGAAATATGTAGTTTTTTTTATTGTAGGCTGTAATATTTAGGAATAACTCACTGAAATCTGTTCGAACAAGAGTCTATTAAACATCCCGGGTATGATAAAATTTGAAACACAAAATCATAAATTATAATTTAATAAATAATCATAAAAAAAATAATAATATAATAATAATACATTTAATTCAATAATATAATCAAACCAAAAACACTGAAATTGGAAATATAACGCCAAGTTCGCACATCACTGAGCAAAGTCGCAAAATTGTTTTCAGTGTCTGATGACGAATTTCTCCACGAATCATTATCACTCAATTCTGCAAGTGGTTCTGATTTACTATCGCTGTTCTCTAGCTGATCTAAACCCGCTTTTGACCTAAAGGGACGCTTTTCAGATGCCATGGACTTTTCTAAGTTTCCAGGCAGAAAGAACAGTCAAAATGCAGACAGGGGACAGGACCAAAGCACTAGGGACAAAATATATGTGAAATGGTTTGAAACAGCAATGTTTTACTATGTAAAATTAGTTTTGAAAAAAATGAAATTTTTAAAAAATTTTCAAATTTCCCGCCACCGGCGGCGCCCGTACGTCCTGACGTCACAGGGACCGGAACACAGAAGCCGGATGCCGGCATCAGCCAGAGGAGATGGCCGGGGACTCTGCAGGGGACATATCGCGGGAGCGAAGGACAAGGTAAGCTCTGCAGGGACTCCCTATGCAGCGCCGCATGGTAAGCCCGAGTGTAGCTCGGGGTTACCGCTTTTGGTACAGAAACTTTACCCTGAGCTACACTCGGGAATACCGCCAGGGAGGTTAAACTCTGACCCTAGGTAGTGTGTTTTTTAGCTTTGGATGGAGTGGTTAACTGCTATAATTTCTCTAAGTTTGTCTGTGATGGAAATATTTTTCCTCATTTCCTGACCATTTGATGCCTGGGGGAAGTGCTAGAAAAACAGGCACAGCCATCTATTAAAATATTGTCAACAGTTTTAATCTGCCCCCATTCTACTGAAAATCTATTTTTGTCTGTATCTTTGTTGTAAAGTAACACTGACATGCAAACATCATTGGCGTAACTATAGCCATAGCAGTCTACATGGCTGCTATGGGGCCTGGGGGTAGGAGAGGGGCCCATTAGTGAGGGTGTTCAGGCATTGTGATGATAACACAGATACAATAATGTATTATTAGGGTTTAGGAGGTTGCCACTGATGCTGACCCTGTGAAGTCTCCAGTTTAGAAGCACTCACTTGCCCACTCACAAAGTGCCCAAAAGTGTCGAAAAACACAGTTCACTCTATGCCTTTTATTGTTGTGCTTTTAAAAAATTCTACTAATCTGCCTTTGCAATTTCTCTGAATGTCCTCCACTACCTGACTTTTTTCTAAGAAAGTTTCAGCAATTCAGTATCTACCCAATGTACTTGCCTAGCATGTCACCATCTGTCACACATAATCGGCAAGCTATATGCAATCTGCCAATCATGATTGTAGAGTGCTTATTTATACTGCATCTTGCTTCATGAATCCATAATCAGCATGTTCCTGACAGATTCAACCAACCAAAAAGTATCTGCTTGATAGCTTCAGTCAACTTGTCAGTGCATTCCTGGCCATGTCAATCAACTCATCAATGTCAACCTTGTGTCAGCCTGATCATTTCCAGGGAGTCAACAAAACCCAACATAACAGGTCTGCACGTAAGAAGCCACCTCATGTAATTGGTCAGTATTTGCTTTGATTAAAGCTGATATCCATGCAAACCACTAAATACACAAATTAATTACATATTATTTATTTATTTCAGGTACTTATATAGCACCGTCAATTTACACAGAACTTTACATACATATATTGTACATTCACATCAGTCCCTAATCCTCAAGGGGTGTACAATCTAAAGTCCCTAACTCCCATTCATACATACACATACTAGGGCCAATTTAGACAGGAGCCAATTAACCTAGCAGTATGTCTTTGGAGTGTGGGAGGAAACCGGAGTACCCAGAGGAAACCCACGAAGTCACAGGGAGAACATGCAAACTCCAGGCAGGTGGTGCCGTGGCTGGGATTTGAACCAACGACCCCAGTACTGCCAGGCGGAAGTGCTAACCATTTAGCCACATATGGGAGATGTTTTTCCTGAGGGTTTGTATGTCTGTGCCACCAGCTCTGGAATTTACACAGCTCACCCCCTCTGGCAAGACAGGAGACCTGTTTTTTTTCTGCTGTTAAACAAATCTAATAGGAGATAAGAGGAACATATTGATTCTAAAGGAAGTTCAAGCCAAAGACAGCTTAACACATTTATATAGAGGCCAATGAAATATTTTCAGCACTTAAAGTGGAACTAAACCCATTGATTTAACAGTTTAAAAAAAAAGAGTTACATTCCCAGCATGCCGGGATTGCTAACTGTAACATAAGTTTGTGCTCTTAACTGAACTGTCAAACCATAAAAGAGCTGGTGGCATAACTGATCACATATTCAGCACCATGGCAGTTGCATGTTAAACCGAGGATAAGATGACCGCTTCCTTGGCTGAAATGGATTGGAGGGTTTATTTCTGCTTTAAGATTCCACTAGACTAAGACCAGGTATTTATGCTATGCCTGCACCTGACCTCTTCAGTTAACCCATTAGCTCCATCTGCATCAATCTAAAATTTGATCAGTCAGCCTCCATATCCATACGACATCCTCAATTAACCCATCCAACAATTTCAGTTGCTACCAGAATAGGACCTACAGTATATAATTAAAGAAGAACTATAGGCAAAACTTTTTTTTCCATTTTGGCTAGAGTAAGGGATGGGTTTAAACCCTGTAAGTTAATTTTTTGCCATCTGTGTTCCATTGGGGAGATTTACCTTCAGTTCCTGTCCCATAGCCAAAACAGGGGACACGAGGTAACAAGAGAAAATCCCTGCAAAGTAAAGGAATTCCTTGGTTACCCCCAGGTCACCAGAATAGTGTCCCCATTGGAAAATGATCCCTCTATCACTTTTCGGGGGACAACCCAAAATTTGAGATTTCTTTTATTTTCACTTTCGATGATAATAGTAAACAGGACAAATAGAGAGGGGTAAATCTCCCTAACGGGGGCAGAGACAGCAATAAAAATTGACAGGGGTTCTAATCCGTTTCTACTTTATCTAAAACTAAAAAAAATTTTACCTTTAGTTATACTTTAATATTTTATATCATATAAACATAATCAGTTCATCTGCCACTGCTCAGGATACACAGTACATACATGGAAAACTGGCTTCCATTTGTATGTCATAGGTCTTACCACTATCAAAAAATAAGAACTGAATTAGATTTGTTTGGTTTCCAGCAGAATGGACAAAGAGAATTTCAAGTTGCAATTCAATGTTGAAATAATTTATGGCTCACTGGAAGTCTTTTAGCAGTTGCTTATTTGTGGTCTCCTCAGATTTTGCTGTAATTATATAAAAAATAGGGTGTTAGATAAGCTTGTGTACCAAGAAACTAAATGACATCATTGTACTATGCAGGACCTTTTATTTAATAGACACACGCAACCGTCAAGATGACTATTACGAAACTTAATGAAATGTTGGCCTAATTTGGAGCCACATTACATCATACTTGCTGCTAAACGCTGATTGGCTGGCAGTATTTTGAACAATATATTACCATTTATTTTAAGGGTTTTCATACTTTTGCTCAATCAGAAAATCTGTTATCCATAGACAGCGCTTAAAAACAGAACACATAAAGGTAAGCTTATCATAAAGTTATTTTAACACATTCAATATAATCAAAAGATAAGCTGATTAATAACAGTTTATTTAAAGAATGTTTCAGACAACAGCATTTAAGAGTTTTAAAATAATTCCAAAGACTAAAAATAATATTTTGTATGTGATTGTGTTTTGCAGTGGCTTGTAATGACTATGGCAGTGTTCAGTTATTGCTTTCAGACAGGGACCAGGATGATGATCACAATGATTTTGCTGCATTGTTTAATCAAAACTAGTTCTGGATTTCCAGTAAGTAACATGTTTTGTTAACTATATGTATATATAAAGTGAGTGTGTGTGTACACATGTGTGGAAAACAAAAATATATTTTTGTTTCTGAATTATTTATAGCCCACAGGTGCATTTTTTTAACGAAAAATGCCTTTTTTGATATGCTGAAAAATTTTACATTAGCACATTCTAGTTTACTTATTAAGGAAGCACAGTGTAACAGTGAATTATTCTCTAAAAACCAGGGGCGGACTGACCATGTGGAAACTCGGGCACTGCCCGAGGGCCCGGGGTCAGTAGGGGGCCCCATGAGATGCCCCTGGCACCTTTTTCATAGGGTTTTTTGAGTTTCGGCAAGGGCACAGGGGCCCCATAATCCCCTATTGCCCGGGGGCCCCATGAGTTGTCAGTCCGCCCCTGCTAAAAACCAAACATATTTCAGGTAGCTATGGTAGCATAGTATAGATCTGAATTCTGATTGCTAGCTTTGGTTCATTGTGATGCTCGTTTGTATAAACTGATACCATATTCCACTTAGCAATGACTTATCAACCTTTGGTGAGATTTACCTTTAAAACTACTTTCCAGACCGCAAGATGTATCTAAAAATAGCTATAAAATATCTTCACATGCTATTGTAATAAAAGAATTGTTAAACTAGCTTTACACATATTTAAGACCCTTACTAATGGCTGTACTCTATTCATCATTATATGGCATTTTTTTGCATCCATAGTGGTTTTGTTACATCTTTTCTCTGGAATAGAGATTAGCCTGTTTTACTCATCAGAGTGTCGGGAGCTGTCAGAAACAACTGAATATGTAGTTTCTTATTTATCATATTTTTTACAAGCTTAATGAAAACTAACACTTCCAGAAAGTTTCTAACCGAAAACCTCCACATTTTCTAAAGAAATTAAGCTTAAAAGCAAAAGCATGTCTGAAAGAGCAGAAAATTAGGATACTTGAAATTGTAATTACATGGTGTAAAAATGTTACTACTCATCAGTTTAAAGTTAAACTAAAACAAAAGCCATGAAATGATTCTTATAATGCTGACTTATGTACGGATACCTACATGTGTAGAGTAACAAGGTTTACTTACTACAGGCATCCTAAGGCTTGCCATACATGGATCAGTATTTTTCAATCAGGTGGCAGCTGATAAAAAAAAAACAGAAGGGACTCTCCCATCCCCACAAGCAAAGTGGATGGAGGAATCCTCCCCACTGTGCTATTGTATTCTGACAGCATGGACTCCTTCACTCATCTAGATCTGCAACTGTTCAGTAGTATGTCTGAAAGATCTACCCTATAAAACAGGGGTCTCCAACCTTTCTAAGTAAAGGGCCAGTTTACAGCACTTCAGACTTTGGCCAGTGAGAGTAGAAAGTACCCTGGGATCAGTTCCCCATCATTGGTTGTAATAGTAGGAATAGTGCCATATTGTTGATATCCTTGAGAAGAATAATATCCCATTGATGGTGTCAGTAGGGGGAATGATGCCCCATCATTGGTGTCAGTTGGTGGAATAGTGCCCCAAGGGCTAGATACAGGCAAGCAAAGGGCCATAACGAGCCCCTGGAACAAATGTTGGAGACCACTTCTATAAAATACTATAAGGAATGTATAACTTTGCTCCCAAGTGTATCATGTGGGAATGGGAAACTGAAATCCATTTCAGTTCAACATTACAATGGAAATTACTGGGTGCTGTGTTGGCCTTTTGGTCCATTACTTCTATTTTTTTGCCATCAGGGTGTGAGGTGGAA